GTCTTGATTTCTTTTAGATCAAGGAAGAAATTCTGATTGTTTAATAGGTAAATATGTGTCCATCGATATGCAGGCCTATAGACCTGTTGTGTTTCGATGTTAGTGTTTTTATATGCTCGTGCCTGTGCACATACTTTTAATCAGTATATGCTGTGTATCGTTTAATGTCAAGAAATTTGAGATTTTTGTGCTTTTGGAATTATTTTTGCCACTTTGTGTATACATAAGTTCCAGCCTTTACCATAATCTCCTTCCAAACCTCTTCTGCATTTCGTCTTGCTTCTGCGCAATTATATAAACCCTTAACTGAAACATCCGAACGCGACGACAGGTGGGCAGCCGCCGCGTCGTGCAGTACAGCGCCCTCATCATGCTCCTGTGCGGGCTGGTGGGCAAGGTGGGCGCCCTCTTCATCACCATCCCTGAGCCCATCATCGGGGGCATCTTCTGCGTCGTCTTCGCCATGATCACCTCCGTCGGTCTCTCCTCGCTCCAGTACGTCGACCTCAACTCCCCCAGGAACCTCTTCGTCATCGGGTTCTCCCTCTTCTTCGGGATGGCGCTCCCCATGGTAAGGCGGAGGGAGGAAAGGAAGGAGTGAGGGAGAGAGGGAAGGAGGGAGGGAGGGAGAAAGAGAGGGTAGGAGGAAGAGAGGGAAGAAGGGACGGATTAAAAGGAGAGAGAGAGAGAGAGAGAGAGAGAGAGAGAGAGAGAGAGAGAGAGAGAGAGAGAGAGAGAGAGAGAGAGAGAGAGAGAGAGAGAGAGAGAGAGAGAGAGAGAGAGGTGAGTTAGGGAGAGAGGGAAGAAGGGGTGAGGGAGAGAGGGAAGGGGGAAAGAGAGAGAGAGAGGGAAGGGGGGGAGAGAGAGAGAGGGGAAGGGAGGAGAAGAGAGAGGAAGAGGAAGAGGGGGGGGGGAAAAGAGAGAGAGAAAGAAAGAAAGATGGGGATGGATGAATGAACTATAGACGGACTGACCGATTGAAGGAAAGAGGGAAGAAAGTAAAGAAAGAAGGAAGAAAGAAAAGGAAAGGGAAAGAGAATATATATGCCTATGTTTCTCAACTCCTTTTCGTTAACACATTCTCCCCCTTTTCCGCAGTGGATGCAAAGGCCCGAGAACAAGTACATCATCAACACGTCACTGCCCTTGTTGGACCAGGTGTTGTCGGTGTTGCTCCGGACGTCCATGTTCGTCGGAGGTTTCCTGGGCTTCGTCCTGGACAACACGATCCCAGGTGCGTCTGCCTCGAACTCGGCTTGTGGGGCCTTCCTTTGAGTCCCTGCTGAAGGCTTCCCGTTTTCTTTGATCTCTTTAGCTTATTGTTCCTCGCGTTTTCTCTTTCGCTTTAGTTTATTTAATTAGCTAAAAAGTGGTCTAACAGTATGAGTCTTGTCTTTAATGGACTTACTTATAAACAGTTTGATACTTTTTTGTTATGGAAGGGCCTGTCAGTATACACCTTAAAGAAAAAAAATTGTACAGTAAAAAAGGATTTTCGTTCCTAAGGTCATTGTATTGGGTTCTTAACATAAAGAATCCTTGCGTACTGTTCCTCTTCCTTCAACATCACAGATTTTTACGGAGCCTTTTAGAGAACGAAGATAGCTTCAAGAAAAGCTATCGCGTCCTAAGGGCGTCTGTTAAATCCAGTTTGGTGAAACTCTATATCATTTCTCCTGTTCTTTTGTTGTTGTTTTTTCTACGTATCTTCTATCTCTTTTTATCGACCTTTGACATAAAAATGCGATGTGTTCGTATGCAAGAGGTACCTTAACCCTGCCCCTTCTCGCGGCCGCAGGCACGGACGAGGAGCGTGGCATGAAGAAGTGGAAGGCGCAGCTGAAGCCCGAGAAGGACGAGAACGACGTCGTGACCACGGATGCGCGCTGCTACGACCTCCCCGTGGGAATGCCCTTCTTCCGAGTGTATGTATTTTCTTTCAACTTTTGCGCTTTGCCTTTTCTCTGAATGGTAAATATTCCTTGCTCTCGATTGCGGTGACTGAGCATGACCTATTTATTACGTTTGGTTTCATAACCACCATGGTTACGGCCGCGCATTTATGGGTAAACGGCGGTTTATCCTGAACCCACATCACGTTCCTTACATGGCCTGAAGACGCCTTTGTAGGGTAACGAGTTATCTATTCAAGGCAGTGGTTAATAGTTTGAACAAATAAATGTGTTACACACCAAGAGTCATATAGTACTATAATTAGTTAGCAAGCGACTTCTATTTCATGTAAACTTGATATCTCCGTTTTATGATGATGGTATTAGCATTTTATTATTGAGTTTGCTGTTTTAAACCACGAGAAGAAAGACAAAATAGCGAGCAGCGGGGATTTTTGCTGGATTACATATTCGTTTATTTTTGGTGCGGTGGCCCTGGAACTGAATAGAAGACAAAATTGAAAAAATCTTTTGAATGGTCCTCTTGTCAGTAATGGTCATGTTGGTATGATGACTGATGAGGCAATGATGGCTGTGTAGATTGTGAGAGCTGTGGTGAGCGTGTTGGGCTATGGTGCTGGGAAAGAGATGGCTGCGGTGGTGTGACTCCGAAACACTTGCAGAAATTACACGGAGCCCATGGCCGGAAATGTTCAAGGGTTACTAGTCCCTTTGAAGTTGGAGAACACAAGTGCCCAAGCGATTGTTCACCTCGTCTGTAGTCTGTTCTAGAATGCTACGTTCGGAACTGCTCGTCCTGCTCGTCCAGACCAGTTGGACAAGATGTCATGACCGTTCGGAACCTCTACTTTCTCGTCCTAGACAAGTTTCGTCCATCTTGCCCTCCTGCGAAGCTGGGCGACCAGGACGAGATGACGTCACAATAGCTTTTGTATGTTAACATTGACATCTGTAGGTAACCACAAGATAATGATGGGTAATTTTATGGCCCTTTATTGATGTTATCAAAGGATATTTTTGTGTTTGTCATTTGCAGGCAAGTTAAATGTGCATCAAAGGAGTTACAAACTCTGTGCAGCGTGTAAAATAGACACCGGTATGATAAAAAGTGAATGTTTACATTCGAGCCGGTTGCTTCTGGGCAGAAAGGGCTTGAGTCTCTTTGTCCTTCTGGTCCTGTACAAGTTGTCTGGACAAGCAATACGAAGAGTTCCGAACGCAGCAAAAAATGCACAATATTAATATTACATATAATTGTCAATACTGAAGACTCCCATGAGCTGTAATGATATGCAGTAACATACGAGTCAAAATAACGCAGTAGTTCACAGATGTCCTTATGTCAAGTTTTCCAGTCATCTGTTTATAATCGTTCTTATCTACTAAATGTTCAACTTTTGAAAATAATGCGGGTTCCATTGGAACCTTTATCTATTGGCTTAGTTTATGGAAATCTTTTTAATCCACTACTATTTTTTACACATAATATATGTAGTTTTGATTGTAAGCAATCCCCCAATACCTTGTAGGTTGCTTTTGTTTCAGCAGTACTAATAATTTGACCATTGCAGGTGGGGCTGGGCAAAGTTCGTTCCCATCCTGCCCACCTTCGTCGGATGGAGTGCGGTCAGGCGGAGATGCATGCCAACCCACTCCCAAAAGGCGTAATCTCGCCGGCCATCCACAGGTGAAAAGCTGCCTTGGCGTGTTCAAGCTCAAGAGACCCAGGCATTAAGGCTGTCTGGAACCTTAAACATTATGTCAGACCTTTTCATGAACAAATTATAAAAAAGGCTGTGAATCAGCAGTCGGTTCTAATGTATGTATTTAAAGCATAGTTAAAAGAAATGACATTTGAAACCACCTCCTTACACCTGGCATTCTCACGATTTTTTATGTATCAGACGGTCATTTTTCTAAAAGTTGTTGAAAACAAAGTTAAAGGTGGCTGTGGAGTTTTGTGACTAATGAATATATCTGCATGTCCATAGAACGTGATCTCTCTCTTCTGATGAGGACAAATACCGGACAATTTTTCGATACTCGTAAGATGTCACATTCTACGTAAAATATCTATCATATTTATTGCATGTCATTTAGCGTTAATTTAGGACTGCTGGCGGTTCCTAAAGTTAAGACACAGTTTAAGAGAATTTCTAAAAGGTTTCAACCAAAAGAAGAGGTCCTATCAAAGCTGGAAAATATCTTTCGACATAAAAGTGTCCCAGTAATTACTGAAGGTCAAAAATGTTTCAGATCTTTGCAATTTAACATCAGGACAACCAATAAAAAAATTAGCAAAGTAAGATATTCCGAAGCTGGAATAAAGTTTACAAATACACTCTGAGACGGTCTTTTTTTCAACGTCTCACTACCCAGGACAGCTCATCTTACAACACTGCCTGAGACAGTCTCTGGTATATACATACTGGGCTGATCTCGAAATATATATCCCAGCCCCTGGTTGTGTATAGTACAACTCAAGATGAACTGCCTGGCACAGCCTTGAAACTGCACAAATATCTAGCCATGCTAAGCAGAACATGTGCAGACCGCTAAGGCATTGCCTCGATGTTAAACTCAACCAGGTAGTGTTCAGTAACAACACTAGCACAATTAACGTGGAAGGCAAGCCTCAGACAATTGCCTGAGCCACATAGGTTGTCCAAAAACTTTATTTGTAAGTGCTTAGCCAAGCAACACACCAAGTTTGTGTTGCTTTTACTTCGAGCTCTGTGAAGACTTTACCTTTGCATATTCTGTTCTTCTGGCACAATTTTGCACTTTTTGCCATGTGGCCCTCAGCATCTGAGAATCTGTCCACTTTATTATTTTCATTTTTAATAAAAATAAGAAAAAATGCTGGTTTTTCTGACCTAAGCTTTTTTACAAATCATTAAAAAGATACTCATTTACCCTCATATGAAAGAGGGAAGAGACACAAATGCTAAACACAAACAGCTGTAGTTATAGTAAGACAATTTTGTATTCTTACGTGCAAATATATTTTTCTCTGTCTTACCCTCTCTTTTACAGTATATTACATGTGCATAAACATACAAACCAAAGGTTACAAAGACACCAGAGCTGTGGCAAATTTGTTGTATTTAAAGAATTAAGTTTTACAGGTAATATTTGCTTAGCAATAGTTTGTAGGGGAGTCGACCCTAGCCAGGTTGTACCCAGATGCTACATAACCAAGATCCCTTTTGTGTCAAGATGGATGAATTACACACTTCCATTTTGTTCTCATCTCTCTTTCTGTCATCATAATGCATTGACCTCTCCATGGTATCACAGATAAGGTATGCCAACACAATGTTGGAATAAGTCATGGCATACCAAAATTCAACTTAGGATAATGTTAACTCCATTGCTTTCAAATGTGAATTTTACCTACTTTCAAATATATAATAATGCATACATGTAAATGTGCATATGCATGTATATGTGTATGTGCATGTGTGTGCATGTATATGTACATGTGCATGTGTGAATATAAAAATGCGCATTCAAGAATATCTATGCATGTGCGTGTCTCTAAGCATGCACATGTGCATGTTTGTGTAAATGTGTACATAAAGAAGTGTCTATACTAGTATGCACAAAACATGTGTGTTTGTATCAACAATGTGTGTGTGGTGTGGTATGGTGTGTTTCAATGTTTTTTTTATTAAAATACCAAAAATAAGATAATACATATGCATGCATACAGACACACAAGGTGACATGAAACTGCAACAATGTGTGTCAGTATACACGCATGATGCAAAACACACAGTTCATTATTACCCTAAAATACATGATTCGGTATACTCTCATGGGAAGAAATATAACGGAGATGTTACCAACAAAAAATTGTGAATATCACTTCATCAATGGCATAAAAACTGGCTTGGTTACTTGCAGCCATAACCTTGTGCAGCATTCATGGTTACAAACTCGTTGGCATGATCTAAATTTTACAGCACATGGAATTACGAAAAATCCACAGGATTATCCTATTCTACTTGTCACACAAATAACGCTCTGCAAACTCTACCATGGCTGGGGAAGTCACTATCACCTCGAGGCACTTCAGTGAAGGCATGACTTATTGCCTGACATGCTGCTCACTGTTCTGTTTTGTCTTTCTGGCTGATGCTGAATTCCTCAAACCACTTGGAAAATGAGAATCTTTCTCCTCTGTACTGCTTCTCATGATGAAATGGAACTTCTATTCTTTTCGTCTTTCCCCTGTTTAAGTACAAACACAATCATACCAGTTTTCCTTTACATTTGCTCATTCCTTCCCTTTTTGCTCGTCTCTCCCCTCTATAAGGGATCGCTGGGCCATGAAAGTGCACAACGGCAGTGGATCATGCTGGTAACTGCTTAAAACTTAGGATCAAGTAGGTCATCTAGCATTTGGTCCCTCAGCTCTTGGCTGGGCAACTGAAGAGGAAAAATATTACAATAAATTCTCACTTGCAGGTGTTATTTCCAGAATTAAAATAAGAGTAATGAAATTATTTTGTACTAAGTAAAGGAGACTCAGCCCCTTGCTGTTGTCCATTCAGATTATGAAGCTGACCTTCCAACTGGCATCCTGCTCCGCAATTAACAGATATATTGAATAAATTCTCATCCGAAGCCATGGATGTACCATTTATAATATAACATCAAAGTTTGGCAGGCTTCTACAGGTTACTGTATCCGTCTCCTTCTGCCTTCAACACTGGGAAAACTTACCTATATGGATACATGCAACTTTCTCATACACAAAAGTCCATTATCTTATCGCACTTCTTTTACAATTACAATATATATACATACACATCCTGATACCTCCAACTCTATCTAATTTCAGAGTGGGCTGCATTACATAGCCGCAGTTATCCCATTTGTGCTTTCTGAGATGCTCTTATAAAAATGGACAAGTTTTCCTAATTGTATGCAGAAAGCTGAAAGAAAGAGAAATGCATGGTCTTTTCTGGAACACTTCCACTGCACGTCTTCAGCTCCGTGGCTAGCACTACAAAATATTTAGACAGCATAGCTCATTGGTTATAAAATATACTTTTACAGAAGTATCTTAAGAGCTTTCCATTCTACAAGAATTATGATTTCTTCATGTACACAATGCACTCTTCACATCAATCCAATCTTTACACATGGATTTTATTAACCATTTCATTTATAATCTAATTAAATATGCATTTCTATATACAATATACAAGTGAAAAAGGAAAGAAATATGAGAGCAAGAAAGGGAAAGGTAGCATGTGTGTAATTACTAAAATGGATATAAACATCAGCTCCCCAAAAATTACAGAAGACTCTTCCAATGCTGGGGTACACTTGCATTACGCCAAGTGAGAAAAGTTGCTACAGTAAGGAACAAAGGAATTCCAAGTTAGGCCTAAGTGGTAATTCTGTTTCTGAAACAGAAAATGGCAGTTACAAATATACTTGACAGTCTTTTTAACATCAGAAGACAGAATTTGTTTCTTGATCCCCCTTGAAACCTAGCTGTATGTCTGCTGCAACCTGAAGTCACAGGTTATAAATATAATTTGACATTCTGTTCTTCGCAAATGTTACAATCACAAGACAAAGTAAACAATCTTTGCTTTCTCAATAGAGTTGATGTTTTTACCAATAAGCTACAACTTGTAACTACACACTGAACTACACATTCCTACATCCTTCATAGCCACGGAGCTGTAGCAGCATACATACAAAAGCTCTTGGATCTGTCAAAGCAACACAATGCAATGAATAAAACCTTACTGATAACTGGAAAAAATTATTTTATCTATATTACAAACAACAAAATATAACACCGGGTTTAACTGTCACTCAAAAATAGAAGTCTGAGGAAAGGAATTCCTAAGTGACAGAAATAAAAAGTAAATGTTAGACCTTAGTACAACTATCATACTACAACAGTACAAAATCCTTGTGAAATCTTCAACTGCAAATATGTACATTTGCGTCTTTGAACACACAAGACTCCTGAAGTCCATATGGTATGGCTTACAAAGAGCCAAGCATTGGGCTCTTCTGACAGTCCACACAGTGTTGGATACTCAGTCTCAACTATGGCAGCAGATCACCAGCTTACCTTCACTCTTCTCGTGAAAGTACAATATCTCATCCAAGAATGAGAACTATTATCTTCTCAATAATCTCATTCACTTTTTTTTATGATAAAGATATTCTACTTTTCCAAAATGAGTACAAAGCTAGAAATCCTTAAAACTGTGTCAGGAACCCAGGAACAAGTGAAGTCGAGTGCAAATAAACCCAGATGTTTGGTGATGATGGAGGTGGTCGAGGGAGGGGAAACTGAATGCATCACTTATCATTCATCATTTTCAGACAAAACTGCTATGACAACTTTTACATAAACCAATCAGTCTTGTAATAAACAAAAATCAACTCAAAATTTGTGAAATTCGTATGCTTTTCCTGCAAACAATTTTCACAAAAGGAAATTGTAATGACAATAAAAAAATAAAGTCTCCTGATAAAATTTCAAACACCTAACTTAATATTTGACGAAGAAAGATGCCTAAGGACAAGAAACATTGATGAAATGAAGACAGCAACAACAAGAGTAAAAAGATGGTTAAAATAAAATAATTATAATCCAAGCACTATATATACACATCTTCCCTTGTTTTACTTATAAAGAACCCAAGAACTTAATTTTGTCTGATCTTCACTTGTTTTACAACCCTTGCACTTACTAGAAATCAAAGTGACTTGTGTATCTATGATTCTTAACTTTCTCTTCCAATGCTTTGCTTCCAGCATCCGCTATTAATTGACTGCTCTACTCCCTTCACTTCCATGCCTAAGTAAACACCAAACATGGTAAATGCACTACTTTTGATGGTTGAATCCAAAACAATTCTGCACACTACTCCTGGATTGTTTTATCTAAGCTGACACCACAAACTACTCCCTGACATCAATGGTCGAGATCACAAAATTACACATGGATTTAAAGTAAGTTGGTGGGGTAAAAATATATAGATATACCTACCTACTAAAATAACCTTTGCAGTAACTCAAAAAAGTGAAAACTACAAATTAATCTTTTTGCTGTAGACTTTTAAAATATTAAACTTTTTGTATGTTTTTTTTTTCTTTTTCTTTGTTATCACAGATACATTATGGAGTGTTAAGAACCCCGTATAATTTACAATAAAATCTAGTTAATATATTGTTGAGCATACTCTCTTATAGCACACCATCATTGCTGCTGGCTTACTTAAACCTATGTGTTGATGACCCTCCCACACACCACAGCTGACACGGTCGCTGCTTCCTAACCAATGGTTGTGTATATAAGAACTAATGTCAATGCTTTGTCATGACAGTGAAAAAGTAAACACTGAATGCCTTATTCTATCTCTGCTAAAATCCACAAACATCCAAGAGTCAAAACTACTTATATTACACATCTTAATACATATATACAAGGTACACGATGTGTCCACAATTTCAGCAGCATTTTAACACAATGCTGAAAATTTGTAAAAAAATTTCCAAGTCTCAAGTTACAACAAGACTTATGCTGCTGTGTAGCTGCAAAGACCTGGAAGTTAAACCATACTTGGGAACAAGTAAAAAAAGTAAATTAACAAAACTTAGCAGTTGGGCACATTCAACTAAGGTTCTGACCTGCCAAACTAGCAAGCAAAACCTAATCCTCAATCACTACCAAACCTCCTTAAGTCTTTTAGAGCTTGACTTTGATGCCACAACTTCTTATCAGAATGTTAAACGTATCCATAAGAAGTATGGATCTTGCCAACACCTGCTGTCCAGGTGAAAAGCAGCAAGTGAACGTTTCAATCTAACTTGAAATGTAACATCCTTTAAAAAGGAACCAAGTGCAATTGTGTGGTTAATATCTATTTTTGATAAATTCACTTAAGCAACACAGTTAAGCCCAAAAATGTATAAACTTACAAGTTTAAAAAAAAAAAAAAAAAAAAAATAAATATTAAAATCTTGAATATGACCAATTTGCAAAATGAAGAAAATTAAGACCAACAAGAAGTATGCCACACTAGACATAGACACAATGGCTGTGCGGGGTATATTCACAGCCACATGCAGCTATTGACAAAGTAAGAAACAAACTGTGATGCTCTAACCTCCAAGAGATGGGCCAGATGTGCGCACATCTTACAACAATCTTTTCCCAGTGCCATTCGGTAACCCAACTACTCACTGTTGCTGCAATGAGCTTGGTAGAATAATTATTTTCTCTTATTCTAATTATGGGAGCTAAAATATAGAAGTTCCTTTGTTGAGATCACATTTGTCTGAGAGTTGATTCCCTCTGACAACCTACTAGTTGGGACTAGTAGCTCAGGATAAAAAGAGAGAAAAAGTACAAAAGTTAACACCATTTCCTGAATCACATACCCGGCAGTTGCAGGAAACTGGTAAAATCAAAGCTAAAAAGCCAGACTCTGGCAGTCCAGAGAACCTTATGATTCACATACACAGGTACACCTTAAACTGGACCTCAGTATACACAATATAAGATTCAGCATATAGCAGTATACCTAAAGATGGATTCCAACAGGCAATGTACCTCCAGACGGACTTCAATATGCAAAGGCATACCTTAAGCTGTGCTTAAGCAAACAAGATATATCTCAAGCCAAAGTCAAGTATACATAGGAAATATTTAAGCTTGACTCCAGCATACCAAAACTGGACTCAAAATGTACATATGTATACTTTAAACTATGATCCTATGTATACAAATCAGGCATATCTGTGCTAGTGCTTCAGCACTGTGTCTGTGTTGAAGAGGTAAACATCAGCCAGGATACCCAAATTTCACATCTTTAAAACATGAGTTTTAAAGTTTTCATGACTATGGGTGCCCCCTCAGCAGCTGACAGCATTATGTCAAATACTTTGCCCAGGTGGCAGGCTGATGTCAGTCTTTATTCACATCCAGCACCAAAGAATTGAACACTTCCTGATCACCCAGATCCGGCAACGTTGGCCGGAAGTCCTCCTCCAGCCCACTACCTGGATTTTCCAATGAGCGGTTTAGAGCATTGAGCGTGAGCATGGAGGCTGTACTGATTAATGGTCCCTGTCCACCACCACCACCAGCACTATCAACTTGCTGTCCTTGTGTGTTATCCATACAACAACTACTACTACTCAGAGTCACTTCACTTACTCCTATTTGCTCTTCCATAGATCTCATATCCCCAGTTTCTGAAGCATAGTTCACAGAAAATGGGTCCATGTTAGGAGGAACTTGCAGAGGGTCTGAAAGTGTTGACAGGTCTGCTGTATGGCTATTAGTTAGAGTCAATGAATCCATGGAATCAAGCCCAACAGTCCCTCCTGCATCACCAGACAAATTGACATCCAGCAGCGGGTCTATCTCTAAATTATAACTATCAGTAAAGTCATTGCATTCACTGGGTACAGGAGTAGGTGCATAAGAGGAAGGTTGAGACACACAACTCTCAGTGAACACAAACTGCTGATTAACAACAGGTGTATTGGGATGGGATTTTGCAAAAGATTCTTGAGTACAGGATGGCATATTGAGCATCTGCAGAGGTGGAACTGATTGAGGTCTATTCAGATTACCTGGCAGGGCATTGCTCGGTCCAGGTTGGGAGTTTGTCATTACATTGGACACCTCTTGGGATAAAGGATCAATAGAGAAGGCAGGAGGCTGAGGCTGATAATGGATAGTTGGCCCTGCTGACATGTGTCGACGGCGCAAGTCACTGTACCCACTTACAGTTTGTTTATTCTTGAGCATATGATGTAACATGGAGGCTGAAGGAAGTTGTATGCTTGAGTCTTGAGGGGGATGAACTGAGCCATCTTGCACCAGTGGCGAGAGAGGAGCAGAGGAAGGAGATGGTGGAACACTTCCTGATGAATGTCTTGAACGGAACTTCCCTCCACGCCGACTAGACATGTCGTCTGGGGTGTACGGTGCATGTCTAAAAGTAGGGGCACCAGAAGAGTGCCGGGAACGACAGTTAGGGGTGTACGGACTGCGATGATTCTGATTCGAGTTGTGACGTGACCTTGGAAATAAGGGTGTTGTTATTGGTGACATGAATGGTGTGCTGCATTCAGACGCAACTGGATGGTTTGGTTGGTCTGGTGTAAATGGTGTACTACGAGGTGTTACATATGTTGAATTGGTTTGACCAGAGTTGTGTCTTGATCTAGGTAATGGGGTATTCCTTGGAGACATAAATGGGCTAGCATTTGCACTAGAGCACTGAGACATACCCTGTGCTTGGTCCAGATTACTACCTATTGGTGTGAAATTAAACTGAGTTCTGCGTGTATTGGGACTTGGTGGCACTGACCCCACAGTCTGTCCTCCCATAAGAGGATTCAAGCTGTCTCCTCCATCCAGTGACGGCTGGAAGCTGACTCTTCTTCTCATTCCTCCTGTTCCCTGCACATCCTGATCAATGTCTGTGTCGGTCATTAGTGGATGAGCACTGACCCCCACTCCACCCTGAGCTTGACCCCCTGGTAGGTTTCTCTGAAGCAACTTCCGCAATTCAGATAGTTGACTTGACTTCTGAGCATCATCCATATCAGCATTTTTGTGGAAGTACTGAATTAATTCTTCTTCAGCCTCATGACTATTAGTGCAGTTATTACTGGTCAGATTTTGTCTTTGCTGAACCTGTTGCTGTTGCTGCTGCTGTTGCTGCTGCTGTTGGTGTTGTTGGTGTTGTTGGTGTTGTTGTTGTTGTTGTTGTTGTTGCTGCTGCTGCTGCTGCTGCTGCTGCTGTTGCTGCTGCTGTTGCTGTTGCTGTTGCTGTTGCTGCTGCTGTTGTTGTTGCTGCTGTTGTTGCTGTTCACGCTGAGTCACTTGCTGAATTCCTGACTCGACCATCAACTGGCCACCATAATTTACAGGCAAAAGGACTTCAGTTTTGGGATGTGTGATGTCCTCTGGGACTCCTAAGATCTCTGACCACTGAGATGCCACAGGCAATGTCCCTTGCATGCTGTCAGTGACCTTAGGCTGGATGGCTTTGAACCTGGACTTGGGTGATGTGGTCTTGGGAGCACTGGACTGCATAATAAGGAACGGTTTCTTGGCAGGGTTAGATTTTGGGTTTGGTACTTTGTTACAGGAAGTTTTGACATCACAATTGTTATTTGTATTGCAATTTCTTCTAAGCGGTTGCTGTGTATGGCCAACATTCGTGATGATGTTGCTGTGAAAGTTTCCATTCTTGCCATCCATAACCACCTTGGCATCTAGAAGTTTGTCATCCGTGAGTGAGTCCAGAAACTCCAGACTCTCTTCCTGCTTGATATTAGTTATGCTGACAATATTATTGCCGTCACCGCCTGCAATGTCTCCAGTAGCACCATTGGGAAGCTCAGAGAGGAGACTATCACAGTTGCCATTAGTGGTGTTTGTAGTGGCAGTAATGGTGGTAGTGATAGTGGCTGCTGGGGGATGATGTGAATTGGACTTCGACGACACAGCGGAGGTGCCATTGGTCACAGTCTCACCAGAAGGATTGCGCGATGCCCCACTCCGCCTCCGAGATTTTGGCCGCTCATTGTTTGCCTTGTTGATGGCTGGCTGCTGCTCCTGCAACCAATAAATCAAGGGAGTTACTGGCAAGCATATCATGCTGAACTATTTGGCTGATTATACTCACAATAAGCTATGGGAAAAATAAGTAAGACAAAATACAGTACAATTAAAGACCATAATCAATTACTTAGTAAATTAACATTTCCAATGTTAATGGTAGTTACTTCAAAAACTAATATAGCTTCTACTAACTAAAACATTTTAGAATAAATTCACTAACTGACTAATCAAACAAATGAACTATTCAAAAATAGATAAACAAATATTTTCACGGACCTGGAGTTTCCTCTTCTGCTCTCTGATGTGCTCCCGTTCCTGTAACTTCCGCTGAAGTTGCAGCTGAGTCTCTCTGTGTTTTCCACCTCCTGTCCCTCCACTCACCAACATGCCTGGAAGGTTCAACTCACTTTAAGACAACTTTCTTGTCCTGTATGAAGGAACTGCTTAAAATATCTATAACTTTATCTTACTAGCAATTTATCACATTTTGTTTAAAATAAATCAACAAAACTGTGATATTCTCAAAAAACATCTGTTATCTACAGAACTTTTCTGCCTCAGAGTAAGAAAAATAATAATCAGTGTTACTTTCTGAAAAGGTAATCTTCATTGTCTACTAAAGACATCCCCCTAATGTCTAAAAAGTGATATCCCTGAAAATCATGATACAAATAGAAAACACAAATGATAAAGTTTCAAGTCCTGAATAACACAAATCATGTGTTATTCTATTCTACTTCTTCCCTGTCAAAAGGTAAATAACAAGCATATAACTAAATATTAGTTAAGAACTTTTTAACCTTTTATTTCAGCCTAGTAAATCTACTTTTAACCCATTCAAGAGGGGAAGACATCATATCACATCATAGTAGAGTATCCTTCACATTGGGATGATATTATTAGGTTATGCACAGGCAAACTTGCTAAAAGGTGTGTGTGCTAAACAGAAGTACACTTATTTGGCCTTGGCTGCATTCACTGACGAGAAACAGCCCCTCCAAAGTAGAGCTGAAGCCTCTTTCTAGCCTAACTATGTAAAGAATTGTCTATGTATCAGCCAAGAACATAGAGAGTGGGGTAACTTTGTTTCCTGCACTTCAAATTTTTCTCTTGAGCTGCTGCCATAGCCTAACACGTGGCTCAGGCAGGTGCTGGAGCTCCCATAATGAATAGGTTAAAGATTTTTCTGAAAAGTCCATCACCTTCATACACATGAAAGGTTTTAACACGATTAATTGTTGCTCATGTAAACACAAAATGGAGACCTCTCAAGCCCAGCAAATGCTCTAGAGCTGAGACTGCTCGTAGGCACAAGATTCACATGAAATTACTAACCAGCAATAAAATAACAATAAAGTTCAGGAAATCTTACTGTTACATATATCGAAAGTTACCTTGATTTTGATCCGCCACTGACAGCAGGGTGAAGGCTGCCATCGACCTGTTGTCCACATAGTTTTTGTGAACCAGATGAAGAGCCAAGTCGCGAATGCTTTCAAATTTAACAGACCAAAGTTTTTCTGCCCACTCCAGCACTAGGCAATTTGCAGCTCTGTCCACCTCACCCTCATCAACCACACAATCCACGCCAAGCTGTAAAGATTGCCCATAAATGCCAGCTAACAGAGAAAGGACAACAATTTTATACCAAAAAGCCTTTCAAAGCTTGTTTTACTCACTGATTACACTGTTTAAACATATTTTCTTTTTAAACACTGCTTGTGATTTTTGTCTACTTAAAATTCAACTTTATTAGTAGTGCACCAGGAAATTCTTGAGAATTCATTATAAAAGAATATATATAAAAAAATTGATGACATTTTGTATCAAAAAGGTAGCTGGGTTGAACAAATGTACTAACTCATGTATATTCTAATAGATATATGTCATATGCTGAACTGCAATATGCAATTTCTTTTTCTTTTAATTTTTTGAAGGTAAGGACAGAGTAAGAAACTATCTTTAGTATGTAAATATAATCTAGTTTTACTATATATTTCAACTATATTCAAGGAAATACCTACAGTTTTTGAGATAAAATGAAAGTCTGTTCATAGACTAAACTACTGACTTATACAATTTTCTTAAAATCTAAATATGAACCCTCATAGCTAAGCAAGACACACCAAACTATGACATGTACAAGTAAGTGTACATGTACAGTAAGATTTACAGTTTAAACAATTTTAGTTATACATAATTCAATCACCTACTGTAATCTTTAATCTAAAAAAATACAACTGCCACTGAAACAATATTAACAATGACAAACAAACATACTTTTCTGATAACTTAAGCTCAATCTAATAGGAATGTAAAGCATAGTTCAAAGTTTTTCACTTTTACTTCTCTCTTTTAGCAAGACTTATTTCAAAGCTTCTGGGACAAATAAAGAAAATATAATGAAACAAATTAAATTGTGTCTGACAGCAACACATAGAATTAATGAAAAACTCTCTCTCAAGACACAATGTCCTTCATTGCACAACATTTTTCTGAAAGAAGATGCATAACACGTACCACATTCTTCTTTGTCATGTTGTCATTAAGATCTGGCAAAGAGGGTGGGTCAAGAGCCCATTTCTTGCGGAGGCCAGAGTAACAATACTTGGAGGCCCCTCGTTGGCCAAGCCTCCGAGGTCTCACTCCAGGAAACACTTGCTTCATAACCTTGCCAAAGTCTGCAGTGCTTAGAGCCTTGATGTTATTCAGGTTGCAGTAATGCCTGTGAAGAAAAGTTTCACATTTAAGTAACATACTTAGCAATCATCTAGTACTTTAAGCTATGGAAACAAAAGGTTCATATATTATTAAACTTAAATTCTACATTTTTTTGCCTCTCTAAACTGTAATTCTTAACCCCTCTTATATGGTGACACCAACACTGGCACCATGAAGTGCCAGTGAAACATCTGGTGATGCCAATGTTGGTGTCATAATTCCATTAGATTTTAGTTGTTGCTGAGTGATCCCATATTCTGTACTGGATCTGTTTTTAGATTCCATATACTTCCCTAGAGATTCTGTAGCTCCACCCACCATCCATGTTTCCACCAATCATGTACATCAGCTAGAAATGTCCCACTCCATACACGTTCGCTCAATCGCTTGCACTCTCTCACTCACACTGTCTCTCGTTCGCACTCTTTCTCTTTCTCTTTCTCGTGAGTGACAGACAGAGAGAGAGACAGACAGAGAGAGAGACAGACAGAGAGAGAGACAGACAGACAGAGAGAGAGAGAGACAGAGAGAGACAGAGACAGAGAGAGAGACAGACAGAGAGAGAGACAGACAGAGAGAGAGAGACAGACAGAGACAGAGAGACAGACAGACAGAAAGTTATAC